TAAACCAGCAAAGGACCAGCTTAAACCAGCAAAGGACCAGTTTAAACCAGCAAAGGACCAGCATAAACCAGCATCCCAGCGTCAAAACATACCTAACCAGCATATGCTGTTTTTTTCAACAGGGTAGTGCATGCAATGTCCTAATGTATAAGGTGAACTGTTCAAAACTGAATGTACAGAGACAGGTCATGTTCTTTCCTTTTCCTAAAACTGAAATAAATGTAGTGTAAAAGAAGGTAGGCTGCAGTATATGATATTTATGCAGGGGTGTAAAATACTTCAGTAATAACTTTAGTTTTAGTCATAGTCTTTCGACTAAATTTCCATTTAGTTTTAGTTTAGTACTATATATTTGAGTAATCTTAGTTTTATTTTTAGTCTCGTTTTACAGTATAGTTGACTGAAATATCATAAGATTTTAGTCAACTAAAATCTAATGCAAATTGTAATGCATTAATTAAGCATTTCTCTAAAATGTCCAAACTCAATATATATTCCTGGATAATATGAATAATAAAACCTGTTAATATGAATACTGTTATGATATTATGGAATATAGACACATATTTAACTGCTGTGACACATAACATGTCTTTATTTATATTAAAATTAAATAAAACCAATAAAAAAAACAAGAACATGGTCTTTTTTCAAGGACTAATGTGTAACGGTCATGGACTTTTAGTTTGTGTTTTTCCCTGTTCTTGTGTTGTTTTGTTTCTTAACCTAGTTGTCCATGCTCCCTTGATTAGTTAATTCTGTTCACCTGTGTTTCATTATCTCATTAGTTCCCTCGTTTAGTTTCTGTATAAGTACTCCCTGTTCTGTTCAATCATTCGCCGGTTATTTATGTTATTATGCTTTGCTGTGTTTCGTTTTGCTCCTGGATTCATCATTAAAGACTGTTTATTGAATACTCCTTCATCGTGAACTTGGATTTAGCAAGCAATGGTTTACACAATGGTTATGCGTTCTTTATAAAAACTTGCGTACAAATTTCTTCATTCTTTCAAGCAGACATATTTATTCATATAAATAAATTTTATATTAATCTTTATTAAGGCCAGTAAAGTGATTCAGTCAAGAGTAGTGAGTGATTTTCTCTTTGTCGTTTGTGGTTTTATTAACATTAATGACAGACAACAGCAACTAAATTAGGCTGCTGTTCCTTTAAAACCAAATGCACTGATCCAATATACTGATACACATCTGATATTTTCCCAACTGTTTACATTCACTTAAGACATAACTGAGTGGGTTTACATGGATAATCACCAAAATGGAAATTTGACATATTTTGTGTGTATTTGTCAGTTCAAGTGCAGTAAGATCTGAAAGAGAACTGACTTCAGTACTCGTGCACTGTCTGAGAGGCATTTTCTGTGTGTGCGCTCAGAAAACTGGACAGAGTTGAGTTATCTTTCACGTCGTCACACTTTTTCTAATTTATCTTATGTCTACTCTTCTCTTACTCCCGGACATTGACATTTTTGAACGTTTAAAGGCAGAGTAAGTGATTTTTCAAAAACACTTTAGAAAACTGATTCGGGCCGAATCGCAAAACAAACTTGTAGCCAATCAGCAATAAGGGGCGTGTCTACTCGTGATGTGGAGGAGAGAGCTTTCAGTGCA